ATTCCTAGTATGGTATGTGTCCTCGAAGTGTCTTAGAGGTCTGTCCTCAAAGTGTCCTCGAAGTCCTCGAAGTTATCTACTAATATAGTAATGTCCTTGAAGTGTCCTTCAAGTCTTCGAAGTCTTAGAAGTCTTCGACCTATCTAGTGTGAAGTCACCACACAACTAATACTCCCCCCTGACTGAACACATCTCTAATCTCTAACAACTCCCCCCTCATCTGTGTAGTCCCATCATTCTGCAAAATAGTTCCACCGTGGGTCGACTCAAAGACTTTGTCAAGATGTCAGCTGGCTGATCAGCTGTGGGCACAAAGATAGGCGCAATTATCTCTTTGTGAACAACGTCTCTGAGCCAATACCAACTAAGATCCAGTTGCTTCATCCTCCCGTGGTGTTCTGGGTGTTTGGCAACAGATATGGCGCTCTGGTTGTCTATTCTAAGTATGGATGGTGCAGTGGTGGAGAATCCCATCTCCTGCAGCAAGTTTCGCATCCATCGGATCTCCTTGCCTGCTGAGACTGCAGAGATGTACTCTGCTTCGGTAGTAGATAGCGCAACAATGCTTTGTAGCTTAGAAGACCACGAGACGACTCCAGAGCCGATCTTCACCAAGTATCCACCAGTGGAGCGCCCTGTGTCCTTGCATCCACCATGATCAGCATCGGAATAGGTTGAGAACAGTTTGGTGCTTGATGGATCAGGCGCATAAGTGATCTTGTAGTCGGCAGTACCTCTGAGATAGCGAAGCAGGTGCTTGACAGCTTGCCAGTGAGCTAATCCTGGATTCGAGTTGAATCTGGCAAGATAACCAACAGCGTGGGCAATGTCTGGTCGAGTTGTTGTTGCCAGGTACATCAGGGCGCCTACTGCAGCTAGGTATGGGACGGTCTTCATGAGCTGGACCTCTTCAGGCGTCTGGGGACTCTGGGAGCGACTGAGTCGAAGGTTGGGCTGCATGGGAGTGGATATGGGCTTGCAATCAGCCATGCCAAAACGCTCGAGGATGTCTAGACAGTACTGCTGTTGAGATATGGTGATGGAGTGTTTAGACCAGTCTCTGTCTATCTTAATGCCCAGAAGCTGAGTGGTGGGACCGAGATCGCGAAGCTTGAAGTGCTGGGAGAGCTCCTTGATGGTGCGGTCGATGGCAGCAGCAGATTTCGAGGCAAAGGTCATGTCATCTACGAAGACTGGCAGAACGATCCTTACATTGTCCTTTAGATAGATGTAGATGGACGCGTCTGAGTAGGACTGAGTGTAGCCCAAAGACTCGAGCACAGAGCGCATTTTCTGGTTCCATCTGTTGCCTCCTTGCTTGGTGCCATATATGCTCTTCTTCAACAAGCAAACCATGTCTTTGGCATCTCCTTCAACAAATCCCTCAGGCTGCTCCATGTAGATGTCGCAGTCCATCTCCCCATTGAGGTAGGCATGAGATATGTCTATAGAGCGCAGGTGGAGGTCGTGAATGGCGGCCATGGCTAGGACAACTCGTATGCTGGGCATTCTGACTGTGGGCGCAAATATTTCGAGGTAGTCGAAGCCAGGTCTTTGATTGTAGCCTTTGGCCACCAATCTGCCTTTGTAGCGCTCCACAGATCCGTCTGCATTGCGCTTCACCTCGAACACCCACTTGCAGCCTATGACCTTCTTTCCAGCAGGTCTGGGGACGAGCTGCCAAGTGCCATTGATGCTGTGGGCGTTCAGCTCCTCCATGGCAGCTTGTTTCCACTGCTCCGCATCAGGGCGCTTCAGAGCTTCGGAGTAGGACAGGGGTTCAGCTGGTGAAGCTGCAGAGAGGACAATCTCATGGCCAAGATCTGCATCCTCGATCTCATCATCCACATCAGAGTGTAGTTGGGCTGGAGATGGCTTCCACCACTCTCTAGGCTTGGTTCTATTGGGCCTGGGCAGTCTGGCTCCAATGCCAATGAGAGAGGGCGGTCTAGGAGGTGGAGATGGTGGTGGTGATGGAGTTGGAGACGAGACTCGGACTTGAGGAGGATCTGGATCAATATTAGGGACTACAGGGGCAGCAGGAGGCGCATCTGGAGGGTCATTGCTCCCCCCATGATCCTGATACTCATCAGAGCTGGATTCATCATCAGCATCTGAATCGTCAGGTATTAGGAATGTCCTTTGTGTCTGTGGAGTAGGTGGGACAGTAGGGTGAGTTGGTGCAGGTGTAGGCGCACTGGAAGCGCGCCATTCAGAAGGAGGGAAGGGGTTTGCGTGCATCTTGCCAGCTAGGCATGGTTTGCAGATAGGATCTGGTGCAGATTTTGACTCTATGGTCATCCCAGTGACGAGCATCTCCCTTATAAGTGTCTTAATACCTTCTAGGTGATGGTGAGCGAGCCTCCTGTGCCAGAGGTCGAAGTCTAGGGGCACAGTCGCAGCTGCAGACACATATTCAGTTATTGCAACAGTAGAACCATCCAGGAATGCAGCATTCGAGTTGCTGATGCTGGCTACAAACAGTGGGGTACCAGTGGGGCGTTCCAAGGACATCTTAGATGCATTAATGAGCACAGTGAACCCCATGTTGCGAGTTAGATATAGGACAGATAGTAGATTATTTCGCAAATCTGGTACATGAAGGACTCTAGTGAATTCTACAGCTTCGACACGCCTCCCATTAATGACTGGACTGAATACCACTGTGCCCTCGCCAGCTGAATAGACTATGTTGTTGTCTGCGACCTTGATAGGGATGCATTTGGGCGCATAATTGCGCAGCCAGTGACGATGGGGAGTCATGTGAGAGGTAGCACCTGTGTCTGCATTCCAGTCAGCATGTGCATCGAGTTGCAAGGGGCAAAGAGGATGGGATGGGTCAAAAGTGCAAAGACTTGCATTACCAGCAAATTCCGTGACCTGTTGGGCGCTCTGGGAGGTGTTCTGGGCAGTGGTCAAGTTGGAGGCGGGTGCAGAGGTGTTGGGAGAGGGTGTAGACGCTGCAGACGATGATTGGGACCCCTCAGAAGCCTTGTTAGCGCTCCTTCCACCTTTTCGACCATCGGTTTTGGTCTTGCGACGATCCTTATCACCTTTAAGACTCCCGCACTTGTGGGTGCAGTGACCAGGCTTCTCGCAGTACCAGCAGGTGACAGAGGTGCCGCATCTACAGTCTCCAGACGCAGTAAACAGCGCTGCATCGGTCCCAGAACCTTCAGGACGTCTCCTCCTTTGGGTTTCCTCAGCCAGGAATGCTGCCTTCAGTTCCTCCTTGTCCAAGGACTTGAGTAGCATCAAAGACGACGCAAAATTGGAGTACTCCTCGCCCAGGGAACGAACCATGGTCATGCAGACCAGCTCTTGGTCGAGTTCCTTGATGGTGTAAGGCTTGGATGGGTCTGAGGGTCGAAGCTCCTGGACTTTGGACATGCCATCTTCGATCCTGGCAATGAGGGTGCTCAAGGACTCGTCAGGCTGCTTCCTAATAGAGAAGAAGTCGTCCCAGGCATTGAAGCGCGCGCCAGGACGCTTCTGGAGGTGCGTGGAAGCCAGGGTGGTCCAAATCTTGACAGGGTCGTCCTGGACAGCGTCGATATGGGTCCTTTGCTCTACAGAGCACGCCAGATACAGCTCCCCAGCTGCCTTGTCTGCCTTGGTGTCCCACTTTGCTGCAGCTTCTGTCTCTGTAGGTCGAGTCTCCATGCCATTGACAAGCAACCAGAGACCCTTAACTCGAAGGTAGGCCTTCATCTCACCCTTCCAAGTAGCATAGTTGGTAGAAGTGAGTTTGGTGACAGTGTGAATAGATTTCGAGTCTTCTGAGGACATGGCAAGGGAGACAGGGCAGTTTTGCAGCAGTGGGACGAATTAAGGGCAAGGGCTTGGTAGAATTCAAAGGAAAGGCTGTCTTTGCTAATTTTCAACAAAGAGAGCAAGGGATAATGGGTGGGGAGAGTACCAGTGGCTGGATGCGAGAGGAGAGAAAATGCGCACTATGTTGGCCCAAAGACAGTGAACTCCAGCGACAGATTTGACTGCTAAAGCGCAGGGCTCATAACCTGTTAGAATAACTGAGAGTTCAAAGTCAATGCACGAAGCATGTAAGACTTGTGAACTCTGCACTATGGGCGAGTCTATGTAAACAAATATAAACAATTCCTAGTATGGTATGTGTCCCCGAAGTGTCTTAGAGGTCTGTCCTCAAAGTGTCCTCGAAGTCCTCGAAGTTATCTACTAATATAGTAATGTCCTTGAAGTGTCCTTCAAGTCTTCGAAGTCTTAGAAGTCTTCGACCTATCTAGTGTGAAGTCACCACACAACTAACAGTTACCAAGGAAGCAAGTCATGTGGGCAATTACTAGTCAAATGTACGAAGGAGAGCAGTCAAATGTCACATGTACCTATGCGCCCCTACATTGTGCAAGACTTCAATTCATTCCTCACCAGTTTGCTGAGCCGTCCTGGCATGGAAAAAGCTATATATCGAGAAACAATGCTCAATGATAATTTACAGATATGAGACATTAAGAATGACACAGTGATGGGAAAGATACTCAGTCCTAATGGGAAATCATTTATGGATGGTTTGAAAAGAACTGATCCTAGGTTAGCATTGAGTCTCTTGGTAGATTGGTTCAACCCCTATGGAAATAAAATCTTAGGCAAGAGGAAGTCCATTGAGTTGGTCACAATGGGACTCCTGAACCTTCCCCTGGGCCTCTGGTACAAAGCAGAAAATATGTACCTGGTCGGTATCATCCTAGGACCCAGAGAGCCATCTCTCTCAATGAGATTAATCACTTCCTTTGGCTGCCAAGAGTCCTTGAACATGACAACCTTGTTGTTGACAAGGTCAAATGCAGGACATGTACGTGTTCCTCAACCAACAGGCAAAACACCATAGGCAACAGGTGTAGGAATGACCAATGTGGTTGAACCAATACTCTTGGCAGCAGGGATGATAACCCTGAACATGTATGTGCTGGTGTGAAGGTTTAACTTGGACTATGTGTGAATGCCTCCTTGGTGCTAGCAGCCACCACTGTTGTATCAACACCATGCAATGCAGGCAATGCTTGTGAAAAGTGATAGAAAAAGTCGACTAAGTGTGAAGATTTGTTATAATTGAAGGCGCAGGTAACAATGGCTCCTTCCCTATCTGATCTGATGATGCGAGCGAAATTGTGCACGATCAGGACAGAAAAAGTGTGGGTATGATATTGAGTGCCAAGCTAGGCTGCAGCATAACTCATAATTTGTTTTAATGTGTCTAGATCCTTCATAGTCTGGTTGACAAAGGAAGATTTATTTTTCATCCAGTCGAGAGGAGGGTCACAAAAGGCATCGTGGATGGCAGCCCACTTCATTTCAACAATAAATGCTGCAGTAGAAACATCACAGTCATGTGATGTTCCATTAGCATATATATGCTGATGTCCGGTTTGATGGCAAACAAGAATGATCTAGCAAGTTTCATGTCCAAATGGTTGGAAGTGTCAACAAACAATAGAGCAGGGGCAAAAGATTTCATGGTGTCAATCTGCAACATTAAACTGACTGTCAGCAGGTCTCAATATGATATAATTTTAAGTGTGCTCACAAATGGTTCATAAGCCTGCACCTCATCTTTAACACAAACTGTGTTATTAAATGTGCCACTCTTGAAGGTTATAGGGAGGAGGCCTGGTATTTCTGAAGTCAGCAGGAACTCCTGGAGAAATTCCTGGACTGGATCGGGCCAATGCAATGATTTTTCATTTCCTTGCCCATGGCATTGACTGTAAAGTTCCGGCAACGCACATTGGTAGTCCAGGGGACCTTGGTGGAACTTCCTTGTTTGAAAGGAGTATCTGTAAATACAGAAGTAAGCTGCAAATTCTGTCTGGCACCAACATGCACTTCTGGTGCTTGTGAGGTCTCGTTCATGGTATTCATAAATCGTAAATGTAAACAGAAATGAACTGAAGGTAATCTATAATTACAGCAAGAGCCAAAAAACCTCACTGAGACGCAACTACAAACTAGGAAAGAGAAACAAAACAGGTGGTTTTAGAAGGCATTAAATAGTGAAGAAAACTCAGCTGGGCATTCCCAAAATACAGCTAACAATGGTTCTCAGAACGTTGCATGTGACAATTTGCTGTGAAGAATTTAATCTAAATTCATAACTGATCACTGAGCGCAACATGGCCAAAAGCACATCTTGGATCAATGAAGATCAGTGTCTCCAACCATCATAACCTATCAAGGGTTTGCTGTAGATATGGTGAAAGGAAAAAGCATTCACAAATGATTTCAGGGCTTAAATGGTGAACCAGATATTTCCGAACATGACAGATCATCGGCTGTGAATGATCCTGGTGCAATGGGCCAATCAGTGACCGGGGATATCTGATTCACCATTTAAGTCTGAAGTCGTCACTTAAACAATCTTTCCTTCTTCCACCATGCACTCCATTTATGTGTAATTTACTATGTACTGTTACATGACTGTATCACTGCAGGGTATACCTGTGTGCAATACTACATCGACTTAATTATATTGAAAATTATGTGATGCTGCAGTACGAATAATAACCAGAATAATGTTCTGATATCTACATGTCTTAAGGTTCGCACATTGCAATTACTCTTTTAAAAAAATCTGATTCTGTTTGCAGCTGGGGTATTATTCATACATCCATGTAAATATTTGGAGGACTGTTGGACGTCCTCCACCTATACAAACTCCTGCAGTGTTAGAAGAACTGAGAGTTCAAAGTCAATGCACAAAGCATGTAAGACTATGAACTCTGCACTTTGGGCGAGTCTATGTAAACAAATATAAACAATTCCAAGTATGGTATATGTCCTCAAAGTGTCCTCAAAGTCCTCGAAGTTATCTACTAATATAGTAATGTCCTCAAAGTGTTCTTCAAGTCTTAGAAGTCTTCGAACTATCTAGTGTGAAGTCACCACACAACTAACATGTGGGAGCTCTCTTGGGACCCATTGCTTGCCCACCAACCTACATTGGAAATGCCTCACCGAAATTCTGCAAGAAGTTGATCAGTTGTAGTATCTTGGTCCACGTCCTAATGTTTTACCTGGTTCAAAGGTTTCAGCACAACTACAGCCTTTCCCCACTCCATTGAGATAGAGTGGCAAATGTGACTGGTGCCCACTGGGAAAATGTCAAGATCCTGGCAGTAAGCAGAACACCACAGTGAAGCACCAAAGTCACTGTATGATTTGAGAGGATCCTGGTGTCCTCTGGCTAGAGGTAGGTTTGACACAGGTGAGCTTGAGTTGCTTTCCATGCTTTCAGGAGGTTATCGGGCAATCATGTCTGCCTGCTAACAGAATGTCCATTTTGGTATGGATATTGCCTCCTGTGAATGGGTCACAATATTGACCCAAAATTGTCATGGCTTCATTGAGAATGGCTGGTCCTGTGGGATCCTGCACCATGGCTTTAATATTTGTGGCTGCACAAAATGTCTCCAGCATTGTCTTCTCTAGTTCTCCTGTTATACTGTTCATATTATTCTTTGTGTTTTTGTGAACATGCTTGCTTACCTATCTTGTAGTTGGTATTTGTTTTTTGGAGTGCCCCAATGATCCTCTCGAACGGAAACATCCACCACCCATGCATAGGACCATAATACATCTGGTGTATTGCTGAGTGTGATGTGGTGATGTCACATGTGAAGTTCCCCAATGGATCGCAATCGCAAGTAGCATTGTGCTGTGAACCAACTTCTGCTGTTGAGATTTGTGATCATCATTGGCATCATTTGCTGTATGTTGGCATCCCTACAATTGCATAAGGGCCACTGGTAAGTCAAATTCTATTGATAATTTCCACTATTCCACCTTGAGCTTGCTGTGTTCTGCATCCCCTAGGTTTTTTGGCAGGCCACGATGCCATGATGGTCTCTGAACGATTCCCAACCTTTCCTGGATGGAGTTTATCTCGTTGTCTGACAATAACTCTGATCCATTCAGCCCATCTTTTTTGCTAATTTCCTTTGTGCAGCACATTCCTCTACCAATCTATTGGCGATGACCTGATCATAGACACCCAGCTGACTCTCTCCAAAATCAACATCCATAGGGGCACATTCGGGCACTGCGCACTTTGTACACATTTAGTGAGTAATTTGTTAACTGCTGAGCTATGAACTTACTAGCAGCACCTCAATAATTTCTTTTTTCCTAGGGCACAGTGTATCCGGCAAGACCACTTCATACTCTTGGACTAGTGCTTCTAGCACTGCTACATGGAGATGGGTCATGGTGGACACAGTAGGGTTTGAAATCAAAGTCTCTCTACCCTTCTGCAAGTCCTTTGGGTTAACATGGTTTTGCTGGCCCTTCCTTAGTTCCTTGCTCGCTTGTTTGTCTATTACAATTAAACCTCTGAAGTGGTGTTGAACTAATTCCAGGAATAGGTAGTGCATGCCATCGATCATGATGAACCTTGTTGGATCCCAGTATGGCAGCCGTAAAAGTTCTGACCATCTATCTTACTCCATGTTGTTTGAATATTTTGTCACGCTCTACCTTCGTTTCAGTGGTTTTCACTGTTCTGCTGCTGCTTTGTATTCCTCCAATGTATGTCATCTCCAATTTTCCCAGTCAAAGTCTGCAATATCTAACTTTAGGAGCCAACACAACCTGCACTGATTTGCAGTTGGACCTGCACAGCCCGCCAGCTTGCATGCAGCCGGCAGATCATTGACTGTGACTGCAATGACAGATCGGAAGAGCCTGCCAGCTGTGTGCTTTATTGTCTTGGTGAACCAGATCCTGTCTTTCTAGGTTGGTAACAAGAAGTTGACTACCAGATGTCATTATCCAATATCTTGCCAGAGGGTGCAACTTACAAACTCTTGAAGGACACTAATGTTTGCAATATCGCAACATGCATCACATGTCATGATGTACCATCTCTCCCTCAGCAATGCATGCAGACTTTTAAGTTTGTGAATGCTTCATGGGCGTGTACTCATGAAACTCTCACTCCACATATACATTACCATCTAGTTCTCAATCTTGTGGGCAAGCCATTGCTAAACTTTGCGAGCTCTCGTCAAGTTGTTGAAGCTGTCTGTGATGCACTGATTGGCATGTGTTTTGGAACCTACACCATACACCATATTTATATATCTCCACAGCTCACGAGGACACATGTAACAAGGCGAGTGCATTACATCAAGACCTCAGTCCGGGAAATATTGTCATGCATGGGCCATTGGCATCCTCATAGATTGGGATCTCGCAAAGTTACTCAAAATTCAGGGTCCTCAACAACTCACACGCATGGTACATTTACTTCCTCATGATTCATATCTTGTGCTCAGTTTTTCATCACCAAGGGAACCTGGCAATTTATGTCTGCCAACCCTGTTGAAAAAAAACATGCCACACATACCATAAGGATGACCTCAAGTCCAGTTTTTACGTTGTTTTTTGGGTCACCTTGATGTACACAGAGAGCTATATGGACATCTCCACTCGGTCGCTACTCATGAAGCAGGTCTTCGAGGCTGAGGAGATAAATGGGGTCAGATCAAACTAGAAATCAGCTTTTCTCATCTCAAGAAGGCAAATCGCATATGATGTGTTTGTTGGGCACCAAGCACTTGATAAGCTTATCGTGACACTTGCCAAACTCTTTACTTTTCGGTACACTGTAATCAACGATAAGCAACAGGCTGCATTTGACAAAACATTCCCGTGTCTGGAGACCGCAAAGGGAACTTCCACTTATGAGTTCATCCTCGTAAACTTGATGTTAGAATAACTGAGAGTGTAAAGTCAATGCACAAAACATGTAAGACTGTGAACTCTGCACTATGGGCGAGTCTATGTAAACAAATATAAACAATTCCTAGTATGGTATATGTCCTCAAAGTGTCCTCAAAGTCCTTGAAGTTATCTACTAATATAGTATTGTCCTCAAAGTGTCCTTCAAGTCTTAAAAGTCTTAGAAGTCTTCAAACTATCTAGTGTGAAGTCACCACACAACTAACATCATGAGGGAGGAGCATCTTAATATGGTGACTGGAGCTTGACTGTGACAAAGCAACATATAGTTAACCATGACTGAAGGCAGGAACTTGCAGATCAAGTCCAACAAACTTGACTGATTAACCTTGAGCCTTATTAATTGTCATTGCAAATATGAGCTGCACGGGAAATTGTTGTCACTTTAGAACAAAGGTAAAGTCTGCAGATTTTGCTGAGGGAATAAGGGAGATGCGAGGAATGAAGATGGTCTCTCCATTGTGATCACCACCAAGAAAACCATGCTGCACATCACCATCAGCACTGTCTTCATAAATGACATTGTCAGTGCTGAAATAAGACATTTCTGTGTCAGCCATTTTTCCCAATGTCAGTATGGAGAATTTTGCAATTTTGCATCCATGAACAGCAACCTCCTATCACGAGGCTGCAGGTGCATCTCCCTGGGCAACATATGGTAACATTCAATCCTGATGAAGACCCTCAGGCTGTACTCGACTGGGCTGCAAATGAGCAGACTACATTAACAGTTTTTGCAGCAAATGCTGATGCAAGTGCACTTGGCATTGAGGCATGGAGATACACATATCAGGAGTTTCCCAGCATTGTACATGGAAACCATCAAAAAAAACTTGGGGCATACATCAACAAGGCTTCAATCTTGGCATGTGGGCTGCTGGAAGATGATGGTGAATGGAGACAATGCCTGGAGGAGGCAGCAACAAAGCAAACTGGGAGACAACTACAGCAGCTGTTTGCAGCTACTCTGTTTCTTTGCTTGTCCACAGCACCTGAGGCATTGTGGAACAATTTTTGTGCACATATATGTGATGACTTGCACCATCGACTGATGGTTATCACACAGCGGGACAACCCAACAGACATTGAAGTCTATGACTTTGGCCTGTATCTCTTAAATGAAGTGCTGGAAAAATCAGGCTCATCACTGTGAAATTTTACTATGCCTCTGCTGCAGCATGACTGGGGTGCCCACATTGAGATTCGAAACTCATATATTGCTGAATAGCTGTCATATGATGTGCAGGAAAAGCATCAACGGGCACTTCAGCATATTCCCCTACTCAATACAGAGCAACAGGAAGCCTTCGCACACATCTGGGAATCTGTCAAACATGAGAAAGGCACAACATTCTTTCTTAATGGTCCTGGTGGAACAGAAAAAACATTTGTTTACAAGACCCTTTGCTACAAAATATGAGCAGAGTGGTTAATAGTGCTATGTGTTGCCTCATCTGGGATAGCAGCATTGCTTCTTAAAGGAGGACGCACTGCACATTCAATGGTCAAGATTCTGGTTGATGGCCTTAATAAGGACTCAATCTACAATATTCCCAAAGAGAGCCCTCTAGCTGAACTTATTCGACATACACATCTCATTATCTGAGATGAATCTGGGATGCAGCATCATAATGCACCAGAGGCAGTTGATCAAACCTGTCGTGACCTGCACAACAACAACAAACCATTTGAAGGCATCACCATTGTCTTTGGAGGTGATTTCCAGCAGATACTTCCTGTTATACCCTGAGGAAGCCATGAAGATATCATTGGTGCAACAATTCAGCACTCTCATTTTTGGAAAGATGTCCAAATTATCCACCTCACTCAAAATATGTGTCTCAACTTGAATGACCCAGACAGCCAAGTTTTTGCACAGCGGTTGCTTAATATTGGTCATGGACAGAATTCAAATGCTGACAGCATGGTCACCATTCCAGATAGCATAGTTATACATGACCTTAGCGCACTTATTGATGCCATTTACAATGGGCTTTCAAACAATTCAAATGGTCCTCCACCACCAGATTACTTTGCACACCACATGATCCTCGCCCCTCACAATGGAGATGTCGATAGTATCAACAAGGTGACTCAGGAGCAGAAGTGTATCAGCCATCAATTAACTGTCAAATTTCATTGTGTGAGTTGATTTCCATGGTTGCACAATTATGTTAGTTGTGTAGTGACTTCACACTAGATAGTTCGAAGACTTCTAAGACTTCGAAGACTTGAAGGACACTTCAAGGACAATATTATATTAGTAGATAACTTCGAGGACTTTGAGGACACTTTGAGGACATATACCATACTAGGAATTGTTTATCATAGAGCTTCTATCAATGCATTTACCAACATTATATTATGTTCATGATGTCATTGACTAGGCCTATTCTTGCTTCCCAATCCTCACTTGCCATTCATTGGATGTAGGTATTCCACCCATTTTCCTGTTGGTGTTTGCATTCTGACTCTTTGTGATAGGACTGCTGCAAAACCTTCTATGCATCCGTCCAATGTTACTATGAAGTGCGATCTGTCATATCTTGGTGCTTGGAGTACTGGTCTTGACGTGATTGCTGTTCTCAAATCTAACAATGCTTTAGTGTGTTCTTGTGTCCAGATGGTACTTAGCTTGAAGCTGCTCATAGCTCTCTGATATGTTGCTTTAGACATGGTGTGATCTACTGGTACTTTGAGTAACAGATTCCATAATGGTCCTTCCCATTTTGCATATGCGTTGATTAGTGTGCGGTAGAATCCTGTAAGACCTAGAAATGATGCTAGCTTCTGCATTTCCTAAGGTTGTTGCCAATCTACAATTGCTGTCAATTTCGTCAAGTTTGGTTTGACTCCATCTTGCCCTATGGTCCCTCCTGCGAATTCTGTTTCTGTCATACACAGTTTTGTCCTGCTTGGTGCTATTGAGAATTTGCATTCTCGAAAGTGCTGAAATAAAACCATTAGTTTGTTCATCATTTCTTGAAATGTACTTGCTGCACATCCTCCATCATCCATAACTAGCTCCATATAATGTGTTATTAACAGATCATGGAGTCTTTCTGCTAGCGCGTTGCAGAATGCTGTTGGTGCTCCCATGATTCCCATTGGCATTCTTCAATACCAGAAGTATCCTTGTCCTTCAATATAAAATGCCAGGTAAGGACACTATTTTTCTGGTACTTCTATTGCATAATATCCTGCTGCAAAATCAAAAATTCATACATAATATTACCACTTAGCCTTTGCTGCTTTGAGAATATGTCACCTTGCGGCATTGACACAACTTCTGTTACTTTGTTTAGTCGCGCAAAGTTCTGACAAATCCTCCACTTCTTCGGCTCTTGTTCTGCTGTTCCGTTGACCATTGGCGTGGGTATTTCTTGTTAGAATAACTGAGAGTTCAAAGTCAATGCATAAAGCATGTAAGACTTGTGAACTCTGCACTATGAGCGAGTCTATGTAAACAAATATAAACAATTCCTAGTATGGTATGTGTCCTCAAAGTGTCCTCGAAGTCCTCGAAGTTATCTACTAATATAGTAATGTCCTTGAAGTGTCCTTCAAGTCTTCGACCTATCTAGTGTGAAGTCACCATACAACTAACAGCTACCCCTGCCGCACTTACATCATTGGATCGTTCATATATAATATATTGTGCATATTTAACCACGTACCTAGTTCTAACAGTCAAAATAAACGACAATTGGGCAATTGTCCAATCATTGCCATGGAGATTGAGACTGGAGCATGTACGTCAATGTGTTTAATTGGGTTGAATAGATGGCGAAATTACTTAGCTTATGGTTACAAGGATCAAATGTAATGGTTAATGATTACAAGACTTGCAACACAACAGTCCTTGACGGAGTCAACTATCTTATACCTAAAGAAGTGAAACACAGGGTGAGGTCCCTGGGAACTGCACTAAGCACCAAGTCATTAGCTCCAGGGACCAATAACACAGGTGGGTTTACAGACCTTCCAGCACACCATTCTGATATATAGAAAAGTATGCTCTGTCACAATGCCAGGAAATCTATCCAACTGATTAAATGTGAACCCGAGAAACATATCCCCTGTACAATAGTATCCTGCAGACTTTGTTACTCCTAACGACTACTACTGTTTTTCAAAAATATACGGAGCATATCACTAACAACCCAGTTGTCCTCATAATGATCAAGGATGCGATACCATTTTTTTGCCTGATAAAGATGAGTGACAAAAGACTACTGACAAGATGAGTACCTACTTCCGCATACACAATGGTCAAACTGGCCTTTGCTTGTGAACTCCAGGACTTATTGATTTTGAGATGTTCCTGGGTGAGATGGACTATGAACGTCTGCAGTAGAATAATGGTCAAGAGAGTCATATGATGTGGGTGTAAGGACATGCACATGAGTTTCTTCATAGTCTGAAGAAGGCCAGCCGAGTGCCTCATGTAAATTATATCCTCCCCTCTTGATACGGGAAACATCTCCTCGGGGTTTCGGAATTTTCACCAGCAGAAAAGTGGTGATGGATGACTGAACTACCGATGGAGTGTGTTGTGAGACTTCAGGTGCCACCGAGCAGTCCATATCACGAGAAAATGACATGTGCTGTGTCAAAGGAAGAGGAGTGTAGATGCGCTCAGGGGGAAAGTCGCAGTAAATTGTGAGTGGCTTGAAGTGGCGATGATACCGAAAGTGAGCGGCTTTAGGCATAATATTTCAGACGTACTCATTGAGCGGGTGATTGAGACCTTACTTTACTGTTAGTTGTGTGGTGACTTCACACTAGATAGGTCGAAGACTTGAAGGACACTTCAAGGACATTACTATATTAGTAGATAACTTCGAGGACTTTGAGGACACTTCAAGGACATTACTATATTAGTAGATAACTTCGAGGACTTTGAGGACTTTGAGGACACTTTGAGGACAGACCTCTAAGACACTTCGGGGACACATACCATACTAGGAATTGTTTATATTTGTTTACATAGACTCGCCCATAGTGCAGAGTTCACAAGTCTTACATGCTTCGTGCATTGACTTTGAACTCTCAGTTATTCTAACAGGTTATGAGCCCTGCGCTTTAGCAGTCAAATCTGTCGCTGGAGTTCACTGTCTTTGGGCCAACATAGTGCGCATTTTCTCTCCTCTCGCATCCAGCCACTGGTACTCTCCCCACCCATTATCCCTTGCTCTCTTTGTTGAAAATTAGCAAAGACAGCCTTTCCTTTGAATTCTACCAAGCCCTTGCCCTTAATTCGTCCCACTGCTGCAAAACTGCCCTGTCTCCCTTGCCATGTCCTCAGAAGACTCGAAATCTATTCACACTGTCACCAAACTCACTTCTACCAACTATGCTACTTGGAAGGGTGAGATGAAGGCCTACCTTCGAGTTAAGGGTCTCTGGTTGCTTGTCAATGGCATGGAGACTCGACCTACAGAGACAGAAGCTGCAGCAAAGTGGGACACCAAGGCAGACAAGGCAGCTGGGGAGCTGTATCTGGCGTGCTCTGTAGAGCAAAGGACCCATATCGACGCTGTCCAGGACGACCCTGTCAAGATTTGGACCACCCTGGCTTCCACGCACCTCCAGAAGCGTCCTGGCGCGCGCTTCAATGCCTGGGACGACTTCTTCTCTATTAGGAAGCAGCCTGACGAGTCCTTGAGCACCCTCATTGCCAGGATCGAAGATGGCATGTCCAAAGTCCAGGAGCTTCGACCCTCAGACCCATCCAAGCCTTACACCATCAAGGAACTCGACCAAGAGCTGGTCTGCATGACCATGGTTCGTTCCCTGGGCGAGGAGTACTCCAATTTTGCGTCGTCTTTGATGCTACTCAAGTCCTTGGACAAGGAGGAACTGAAGGCAGCATTCCTGGCTGAGGAAACCCAAAGGAGGAGACGTCCTGAAGGTTCTGGGACCGATGCAGCGCTGTTTACTGCGTCTGGAGACTGTAGATGCGGCACCTCTGTCACCTGCTGGTACTGCGAGAAGCCTGGTCACTGCACCCACAAGTGCGGGAGTCTTAAAGGTGATAAGGATCGTCGCAAGACCAAAACCGATGGTCGAAAAGGTGGAAGGAGCGCTAACAAGGCTTCTGAGGGGTCCCAATCATCGTCTGCAGCGTCTACACCCTCTCCCAACACCTCTGCACCCGCCTCCAACTTGACCACTGCCCAGAACACCTCCCAGAGCGCCCAACAGGTCACGGAATTTGCTGGTAATGCAAGTCTTTGCACTTTTGACCCATCCCATCCTCTTTGCCCCTTGCAACTCGATGCACATGCTGACTGGAATGCAGACACAGGTGCTACCTCTCACATGACTCCCCATCGTCACTGGCTGCGCAATTATGCGCCCAAATGCATCCCTATCAAGGTCGCAGACAACAACATAGTCTATTCAGCTGGCGAGGGCACAGTGGTATTCAGTCCAGTCATTAATGGGAGGCGTGTCGAAGCTGTAGAATTCACTAGAGTCCTTCATGTACCAGATTTGCGAAATAATCTACTATCTGTCCTATATCTAACTCGCAACATGGGGTTCACTGTGCTCATTAATGCATCTAAGATGTCCTTGGAACGCCCCACTGGTACCCCACTGTTTGTAGCCAGCATCAGCAACTCGAATGCTGCATTCCTGGATGGTTCTACTGTTGCAATAACTGAATATGTGTCTGCAGCTGCGACTGTGCCCCTAGACTTCGACCTCTGGCACAGGAGGCTCGCTCACCATCACCTAGAAGGTATTAAGACACTTATAAGGGAGATGCTCGTCACTGGGATGACCATAGAGTCAAAATCTGCACCAGATCCTATCTGCAAACCATGCCTAGCTGGCAAGATGCACGCAAACCCCTTCCCTCCTTCTGAATGGCGCGCTTCCAGTGCGCCTACACCTGCACCAACTCACCCTACTGTCCCACCTACTCCACAGACACAAAGGACATTCCTAATACCTGACGATTCAGATGCTGATGATGAATCCAGCTCTGATGAGTATCAGGATCATGGGGGGAGCAATGACCCTCCAGATGCGCCTCCTGCTGCCCCTGTAGTCCCCTAATATTGATCCAGATCCTCCTCAAGTCCGAGTCTCGTCTCCAACTCCATCCCCACCACCATCTCCACCTCCTAGACCGCCCTCTCCATTGGCATTGGAGCCAGACTGCCCAGGCGCAATAGAACCAAGCCTAGAGAGTGGTGGAAGCTATCTCCAGCCCAACTACACTCTGATGTGGATGATGACATTGAGGACGCGGATCTTGGCCATGAGATTGTTCTCTCTGCAGCTTCACCAGCTGAACCCCTGTCCTACTCCGAAGCTCTGAAGCGCCCTGATGCGGAGCAGTGGAAACAAGCTGCCATGGAGGAGCTGAACGCCCACAGCATCAATGGCACTTGGCAGCTCGTCCCCAGACCTGCTGGAAAGAAGGTCATAGGCTGCAAGTGGGTGTTCAAGGTGAAGCGCAATGCAGACGGATCTGTGGAGCGCTACAAAGGCAGATTGGTGGCCAAAGGCTACAATCAAAGACCTGGCTTCGACTACCTCGAAATATTTGCGCCCACAGTCAGAATGTCCAGCATAAGAGTCGTCCTAGCCATGGCCGCCATTCACGACCTCCACCTGCGCTCTATAGACATATCTCATGCCTACCTCAATGGGGAGATGGACTGCGACGTCTACATGGAGCAGCCTGAGGGATTTGTTGAAGGAGATGCCAAAGAGATGGTTTGCTTGTTGAAGAAGAGCATATATGGCACCAAGCAAGGAGGCAACAGATGGAACCAGAAAATGCGCTCTGTGCTCGAGTCTTTGGGCTACACTCAGTCCTACTCAGACGCGTCCATCTACATCTATCTAAAGGACAATGTAAGGATCATTCTGCCAGTCTTCGTAGATGACATGACCTTTGCCTCGAAATCTGCTGCTGCCATCGACCGCACCATCAAGGAGCTCTCCCAGCACTTCAAGCTTCGCGATCTCGGTCCCACCACTCAGCTTCTGGGCATCAAGATAGACAGAGACTGGTCTAAACACTCCATCACCATATCTCAACAGCAGTACTGTCTAGACATCCTCGAGCGTTTTGGCATGGCTGATTGCAAGCCCATATCCACTCCCATGCAGCCCAACCTTCGACTCAGTCGCTCCCAGAGTCCCCAGACGCCTGAAGAGGTCCAGCTCATGAAGACCGTCCCATACCTAGCTGCAGTAGGCGCCCTGATGTACCTGGCAACAACAACTCGACCAGACATTGCCCACGCTGTTGGTTATCTTGCCAGATTCAACTCGAATCCAGGATTAGCTCACTGGCAAGCTGTCAAGCACCTGCTTCGCTATCTCAGAGGTACTGCCGACTACAAGATCACTTATGCGCCTGATCCATCAAGCACCGAACTGTTCTCAACCTATTCCGATGCTGATCATGGTGGATGCAAGGACACAGGGCGCTCCACTGGTGGATACTTGGTGAAGATTGGCTCTGGAGTCGTCTCGTGGTCTTCTAAGCTACAAAGCATTGTTGCGCTATCTACTACTGAAGCAGAGTACATCTCTGCAGTCTCAGCAGGCAAGGAGATCCGATGGATGCGAAACTTGCTGCAGGAGATGGGATTCTCCACCACTGCACCATCCATACTTAGAATAGACAACCAGAGCGCCATATCTGTTGCCAAACACCCAGAACACCACGGGAGGATGAAGCAACTGGATCTTAGTTGGTATTGGCTCAGAGACGTTGTTCACAAAGAGATAATTGCGCCTATCTTTGTGCCCACAGCTGATCAGCCAGCTGACATCTTGACAAAGTCTTTGAGTCGACCCAAGGTGGAACTATTTTGCAGGATGATGGGACTACACAGATGAGGGGGGAGTTGTTAGAGATTAGAGATGTGTTCAGTCAGGGGGGAGTGTTAGTTGTGTGGTGACTTCACACTAGATAGGTCGAAGACTTCTAAGACTTCGAAGACTTGAAGGACACTTCAAGGACATTACTATATTAGTAGATAACTTCGAGGACTTCGAGGACACTTTGAGGACAGACCTCTAAGACACTTCGAGGACACATACCATACTAGGAATTGTTTATATTTGTTTACATAGACTCGCCCATAGTGCAGAGTTCACAAGTCTTACATGCTTCGTGCATTGACTTTGAACTCTCAGGTATAGTACTTTACTTATTTACACAATAATATTCAAGTGCATTGACTTTGAACTCTCAGTTCTTCTAACTTATACCCCTCCCAGCACTTCACCCACCCTCGACAACGCACCAGGGCTATCCTACTAATCAATGCAAAACTCAGTACCAATTCCTGGAAACAAATCATCTTTCCCTCCTCTGATGTAACTGTTGTCCAGCTTTCAGGACCCTATGGCCGTTGTACCCTGTTTAATATTTATAATAACAGAACAAACCAGAACACGCTAACCACTTTAGACTCATATTTAGAAACTAACATAGCATCCATCAAATCCTCTGAAGATGACCACATGTTGTGATTAGGGGACCTTAATAGTCACCATCCTCTCTGGAAAGACATCCGCAACTGTCACCTATTTAACTATACAGCCACTAACCCTCTTATTGACCTCATAGTCAACTATGGAATGCTACAACTTCTTCCATGTGGTACCCTGACTCTGCAGTCCACCAGCACCAGCAACTGGACCTGCCCCGACAACATCTTTGGTACAGAACTCC